AAGATTGTGTTCACCGTGAGGCCAACGTTGCTAACGTTATGCTGATTTTTTTTTGCCAAGGAAATGTCAGCTGTTGTTATTTTAACGGATCATCATTGTTAATCACTGTGTGTTCGCTTTTGTTATTTTTTGTGAGTAGCAGATCACTCTATAAGTCTATAAAGTGCAAAGGGTGAAAAATTCGGCATTAGTCAATCCCTGAGGATTGTACCATGCCATCGACTCTCTTCATAACATCGTAGAGCTGATCGAACTCATATTTCGCTGATACAATGACTAGCGGGAACCTGTTTATCTATTTGGTCATTGTTTTTGTTTTCATAGACAAGTCTGATAGCAATATACCGGCTCCGTAGTGATAGGGAGCTCCGTTGTTCCGACGAATTGAGTCGAACCAACGACCACATGTGTATTGCAAGGCACCTCTAACCACTGCGTTTCAAGCGCTTGTGTACAAACTTAAACCAGGTGAAACTCTCCATAGATTGTAGAAATATAAACGACGCAGTGTTTCAAAACTACTGTGCTCTCCCGTTCTCAAAGGACAACTTAGCCATATGTTGTTACGAATAGTGCCTTTGTGCACCAAGCGTGCGTAATCTAAGTATCCCTTTCTAATTTCACTAGAAGAAAATTCACAAAATTGGCCTTACGTAATTCAAAGATTGAGCATCGGTCTTTCATGCAATGATTTGGCTGCCTTCTATCATAACCATCAAAAGTTGGCTGTGTAATCGCATACCACCTGATGCTATCGCGTCGTATTTTGATGTAGTTCTTCCGTTACTGAAAAAGCAAGTTCTCATAGGTAAACGTCAATCTTTTTAAACACAAAATTGTCCCAAGACCGACTTCCTGTTAACCTCGGCATTGATTGATAATTCCATGTTTTTCTTCAATAAGCAGACACGAGGTTGTTATTATATAATTTATTAGGATACAATAGCTGACGTTTCGGCGGTTTCGCCTTCTTCATAGCCGTTTATTTATTTGTTGTATGTTATCGCCTATGTATTGCTCTGTGCGGCTGCTATCCATCAGCAAACTTGAATGCTTACAACAAATAAACGGCTCTGAAGAAGGCGAAACTGCCGAAACGTCAGCTATTTGTATCCTAATAAATTATATAATAACAACCTCATGTCTGCTTATTGAAGAAAAACACAAAATCGTCCTTTTCTTTGAAAATATCTATGATATTTTTCCTGAACAGCATTCTTGTTCAGTATATAAAGATCTTCTTGAGCTATATAAAAACTTCACAACCGAGATATCACTGTTTTATAACGATATTAACATCGATGTCAAAAGAGGGATTAGGGAAGGCGATACCAAATCACCAAAATTACTTGCTACTACCCTAGAAAATGTCATGCAAACATTGGAGGGGTACAACATGGGAGTGGAAATCTATGGCCGGCAATGACACCATCTCCCTTTACTGATGGCATCGTTCCTACAACATCAAGCGTTAGCCAGGCGAAACAAATGCTGGTCGTCTTCGACAAACGTTGTTGAAAGATTGCTTTTCGAGTGATTCTCACAAAAACGATGTTCATGAGAACGAATTGGTTTCGTATGCCCCGCTATTGCTCAACGGTACACAAATCTCCGAATGGTTCAACTACATCTGTCTAGATCGGGAAATCAGTTGATGGACTACTTAGCCTCAACGCTTACCAGGAGGCGAGTGGTTTGGGATACTTTCAAGGGCCTCGAAGATGTAGTGATGAGAACAAAGAACAATCGACTCCCTGCCCACTTGTTCGACTTTACGATTTTCTTTTTCTTAACGAATGCTTCAGAAACTTGGTCGCTACCTAGGCAGGATGAAAGATCATTTAATGTTGTAGAACTCTCAGTCAGAGAGACGGTGCTAGTGGTATCCCATATCACGCAAGTGAGAAGGGGGATCGTGAACTCCAACTTTCGTTAACAGTCAAAACTCAAAAATGCCATTCTACAGGTCAAATTCTTGAAAAGCCGGACATCTAAAGCGTCTAAACGACAATGGATGGACGAGAGCCGATAGCGACTGCATTTGTTGAGATGTCATACGCACAGTATGAAGACCACCGACCCGATGGTCGGAATTCTTCACGAAAACCTCAGAAGAAAGGTGTGATGCTCAACGAGTTCCTAGAGCAAGCAGAACCCACTGTGTTACTGTTGCATACTAGACAGTCGTATGGAAGGTTCACTGTAGCACGCTCGATCATTCGAGAATAAACGTGAGGACAGGTGATACAAGTAGTACTCTTTCACTGGTACGCTAACACGAGGTTGACAAAAACTTTATTCGCCTAACGTTTCGGCTCGCTCAATTGTCCACAGTTGTTCCTTTATCCGATGTCTGTCTTCGTTATCGTATCGAATCGGATCCTCTGGAGCACTGCTCGAACGAAGTAACCTCACTCGGTAAAAGGATAAAACTCTCGGCATTGATCAATTCCTGAAGAATGTGCCCTGCATTCGACTTCATTAAGCATCGTTGGAGGTGATTGAATGCATATCTGGCCTTTATAATGAATTGCGGTGGCCTACCGATGTGTCGAGCCAATGCTGCTATCCTCCCAGACAAGTCTGGTAACAATTTGCCGACCGCGGAGCGATGGAGGGCTTGGTGGGTCATGGGTGTTGGGATCGATTCCACGTGTTCGTCACAGTGGCACCTCCGACCACTGCACCACACCTCGTTCGGTAGTACTCTTTTTTATCAGTTCGGCTCTGATGAAAGCGGAAGTGCCGAAACGTTAGCGGAATAAAGGTTTTTTTTTAAATCAACGTCATGCTAGCTTATCAATGAAAGAGTATACATAGGTTATCCTTACCGAGGTTAAATGAGAGCCACTTTAAAAATGTGCTTTACTTCAAAACTCTTTTGATATTTTGCGTCATGTTAATTTATACTTCTCCATGCAAGTAGTTTTTGATAGTCTGTTGTTTTTACTGTCATTTCTTGCAATTTCTTGTTATAATGAGCACTATTTAGAAACAGCATGTATATCGCAAATGTTTGCAAGCGTTAATCTATCCGATCAGTTGCACAACACCACACAATTTTCAAACGACGAACTTCCAAACGCCTACCTGGTGTCATGAATGTGAGGGATTGTTGTGGGGTCTAGCTAGACAAGGTAAGTGGATCTCGTGTTATCTGCTTTATATGTTGTAAGTCCTACTTCAATTAAGAGATTAGGGAAATGCAAGGATGTGTCTCGAGTTTTTTTTATGATTTAATGCGTAGAATGGGAAATCACCTGTACTGGTGACTTTGGATTTGAGTTTTGGTGTTGAATAGTGCAGAAGAATCATAATAGCTTTGTGTATCTTATGTCGATACGGTAATGATCTATAGGTTTGCGGTGTACAGAATGCGGTGTGAAGGTTCACGAAAAGTGTCGAGAACTGTTGAGTGCCGATTGTTTACAAAGTAAGTAAAGCTATCATTCTATTTCACACTCTGCACCTCAGACACACAATTCTTTCTGTGCTAAGTATTTCCTATTCCTTCTATTTTCATGTTATGGATTTACTGGATATCATGTGTTGGCCAAACATTCTTTTTTTGAAAATATGTACATAAGTTAGATTTCGTTGCCCAACATTTAAAACTCGTTCACTTTGATGGACTTTAACTCAGAGCTGCGCACAAAGTCACCCGCGAAATTATAGTAGGCAGAAAATAAAAATGTATAACATTGTGATTTCAACTACAGCCCCAGCTTAACTGGATTCTATGCCGATTTGGGCGCCCCAGATCAATCCCGCTGACGGGTGATTGCTGTGACAAAGATCGATAGAAATAGCTGAGAGACAGGCGAAACAAAGGACCCGCATGGTGTGGTGGTGAACGCGCTACTCCCCGGAAAGGACAATAGCGCGTTTGTTCCCCACCGCAGACACCTGCAGTCCGGAGTTTTGCAAATATCTCAGCAACGTTGTGGTTGTATTTCACTCGTGAGGGTTTGGACAACAACAGCGTCCCTGTTGAGTAGACAGGGACCTTCATGAATTAAACAGCATTGTTGCAAGCAGAATTTTTCCGTTCTGCAATTGTACTGCCATCGTTATAGAGAATGGATTTCGATGGAAAAAGTGCGGTACCGCGAAATTCTTTAACAGTGTCGAGTGAAAATCAATGGCCAAATAGTGAATTATCTTCACTTCGGTTATAGCACTGTTTTATGGCATTCATCTGTATCACCTGTCACCTGTAGTCCCGTTGATCGTCGAGTGACTCGAGCGGGCGCCAGTAAATCTTCCACTTTTCCCTGTTGCGTGCAAGAGTAGCCCAGTGGGTTCTGCTCGCTCTAGAGACTTGTCGAGCATCATATCTTTCTTTTAGGCTCTTATGACATTAAGTATCCAAATCACCTAGATGGAATGAATGCTGGGCCATTTCTGATAATTGGACTCATTATTGATGAGCTATTAACGCTAGGGAGAACGAATATCTAGAATTGCTCAACCTTTTTTTTAAAGTATGCTTCTAAAAACTGTATGCTGTGTAGACCATGATGTCTCTGCCAATATTCATTTTCAACCACGTTGCTGAGTGAGCGATGCTAAGAGTGTTCCATTTCATGAAAGTGCGATTAAGACTGTGAAGTTCCGGTTAATGCCAACGATAAGGGGTTAGCGGCTTTGTTACATATGCCATGTATCAAAAATTGCCTGGGCCAGACAATTTTATACCGACAAGTGATAGAATAAACTGTTAATGACTGGATCTCACAGGACATATAGACTAAACAGGAGGACCGCCGACCTAACAGTTTAATTTCTGCGCGATGACTTGAGACGGAAATTGTGGATCCAGTCACGGGATAGTGTGCTTATTCTCATCTTTAATGCAAATGAGGTGTACAAGTCTTAATTTTCAACGTTCGAGTTCAACTCAGACGTGCTTTTAAAGATCATCATCATCGTAAGATCATTATACTTTGTAAGTTTTCCACATTTTTCACTGCACATCTTTCATCAAGGTCAGCACTAAGATGCATTTTAAAGGGGCCGCTGAAAAAAGCTCAAAACATGGTGAAGGAGAACGTATTCAGTCACTTGTAGCTGTGATTCGTGATCGTATGAGGATTCAGGAGAAGAACAAGCCGGAGATCTTCGAAACAATACGGTTCAGATATGCTTTCGTTGTTCGGCTTATTTCACAATACCAGTCAACTGAATTTATGTTCAGGGTTGTCTTTAACGTTGACGAACGGACACAACAGGAGACATTGAAGCAGATCAAAACGAGCATACTCGAAGGTAGCAGTAAATGGAGTGCGAAAATTACGCTCACAGGTAAATTCATATGAAGTTGTGGAGGGGTGAGGAAACCACTGAGGGCACTCTCCCATTTGTTATTGATGGCTGATTCTTCTTATTGATATTCTTATGGTTCTTCCTCTTGTTTTGGTAATTGGAAACATTTGGTTAGCATGTGAAAAGATCGGTAACCAAAGAATGAAGAGATTACAGATATGGCTAATTTAATTAAGCATGATCATTTACTAATCATGTCGTTTCTAACTGACTCTTTTTTTCGCAGTAATTTGTGCTCAAGGACTTATTGCCAAAGACAAGACCGGCAAGAGTGATCCGTATGTCACTGCTCAGGTATTTATATGATCTTATATGTCTTTTCTGCAGCTGTTTTTCTCCTCTCCATTTGTCATTGTGCTTTACTGTGGTAACGCACTGCTTACCATCAATTATTTGGGTATTTGCATTTTTCCTAGATTTACCTACGTTTGAAGGAAGAGGGTAACGCAGTGGCAGTGATCCCTTTCATTATATGGACATCTCAACCTACTCAGACGCTGGTTTGACCCTACCCCAGGCACACCAAGCCTGTCATCCCTATGGAGTCCGGGAAATTGTTTGGTACCAGACGTGTCTAGGGGTGTCTAGGACAAGATCACTCCCTGTAATCCACCTGGGAGCACCCTACAACAGCTGTCCCAGGATTCTTGAATACCGACTTTCATTACACCTTGGCAAGGATACTCAATGCTTTCTTAGATTATTAGGCTGACACAAGGTTGGCATAAAAATACTTGTTCGGTTAAAGTTCTGACATCATCGTTTTCTTTAGAGCTGGATTGACCCGACTCAATGGTCCACATTTAGTCATCCTTGCGATGTGGGTGTTCGTTGTTGCATCGAGTCGAATCCAGTGAAGGTGATCATCCCTCGAGTGAAGAATCTCACTAGACTATGCCCTTTTATACGAGACAGATGCATTGATGATCTATTGGAGCCATCCAATGTGATCTGATTTTCGAAGGCAATGCGTCCTGCAGCACTCGGTCATTAGCTGTCATACAGCGTAGCAGTATCTTAAAAACTGAATTTCGTTAAACCTTAGCAACAGTAAAACACTTTCTTCGACTTTTGCTGACATGAGATTGCCCGAGGTTTAATGAGGGGCGCATTTTAAGATATTGCCACGCTATGTGCCAGCTAATCAAATGCCATCTGCTGAAGGATGTACTGCTACCAAAATGCGGATCATACTGGATGGTGGCAATAGGTCGACATACGTGCTGTACAAAAGGGCACCGGCGAGTCATATTCTTCGTTCAATCGGTGCTGTGCTTCAGTGGATTCCACTCACTGCGATAACAAACACCCACATCGCAAGGACGACCGTCTGTAGACTAATGATTCGGATCAGTTCGGCGTTGAAGGAGGCAAAGACGTCAAAACTTTAGCTGAATAGGTATTTTAATACGAACCATTATTTAACGAAGTTCTTGAAGAAGAAAAAAAGTCTTGAAGAGCAGCTGAAGCCGCGGGCAAAAAAGTTTGAAGACCTTCGTGGATGGTGGATGAAAGGAAACTAACCAAATACAAGTGTTGGGATCTGCACATTGTCATACATGTGATGCTGAGTCATATAGTTGCAGTAATAATACCACACTTCTGTAGCCGGACCTTACAGATCATATTGGCCCATATAACACATTTCCATTAATTTCTTTCTTGCCGTATCGTTGTCACAGTCATACTCCATGTCACAAATGGTGACATCTGCGAATGTTGCTTTTTGATTCATTAGTTATTTCCAATTATTAGTACAGTTGGTCGAGTTGAGCCATAAACTCAGCCTCTTATCTTATATAGGTGGTCATTTGGTCATTTTAGAGTTTTGTTGCATTTTCTTTGGATCCAGTCTATTTTTCCTGTCGTTCAGCAATCGTCGGTTGTTCTTGTTGCAAGATGAGCCTGTCTATGAATCGTTTTCGATTTTCACCCGGATTTTAAAGAGATGGTAGTTCGGAAGTCTGAAAGAGACATCTTTCAAGCGGTCGAGCGGTGTCTAGAATTCTCGACGTGGTCGAGGGAATCCGTTGAATGGAACGATAACTTCTTTGTGAAGTCCAGTACGGGTTTTCTTCTGCGCAATTAGATAAGCACCCATTTTGGTTTGTTTGTCTTCCCACCATGGGTTTTTTTAAAAATAACCTGCTTTGTCTTTTTACTTATGCACAATCCTATTTCGGTGGGGTGCTTGAGCACCGTTTATTGCTCGAAAAGGCAACGTTGAAGTATGCAATACGATTTAGTAGGATTTTTCAAATAGATGCGCTCTTTTTATTGCAGTCAAGAATCCCATTAACCACACTATTACCACGGCGAACAGCTTTGACGAGATTATTTCAGCTCTCCGACGTTGTTCTTACGGATATTTTACGGGATCATCAGAAGAGTTACAAAGACCTTTTTTTTCGTGGTGCCGTTAGTACAAAAGAGCTTGTGTAAAACGCTTCCATTCCTTGTTCAAAAGGTGGTAATAGATGAGCATTCGTTTCGACTCTGTCGAGTGGTTTTCATTGTCGACAAGGACTAGAAAGAACAAGGTGCAGGTAGTGTTCCTAGCAAACCTCGACCACCGACCACCCTACTTACAATTTTGATGTTACTATTATAAAAAAAATTGCTAGCATATTACCAAAATGGCAACACTTGCCGGCAAGTAAGTATGTTGTGAAGATGGCAATGATACCTGTTATTGTTTCATTCATAGCTGGGTTTGCGCAAGGGTCAGTGAAACTCCTTCACAACACGAATGGCCATAATAGGAGTGGAGTTCTTTCAAGAGTCACCAGTACCAGTTGCTCTGGAATGTCATAGAAGACCGTATTGCTGTTGTTCGATTCCTCCCGTGATCGTTTAATAAATTATGGTGCTTAACAAATAGCCACAATAACTTATTGTCATTCCTCTTGTTGTTACCGTTTATTTGCCATTTTTTTTTCGTGTTTTACTGTTATTATTTAAGGTTGGTAAAGTGAAAAGGCGCACTCGCACAATCCATCAAGAACTGAACCCTGTATGGAATGAGAAATTCTTCTTGTAAGTGTAAACTTCCGGCTGTGTTGTGATGTTGTCATCTTTGTAGTTTTGAACAAATATGCTTTTTTTACTCTCGGTAGCTTTTATTGTAATTTTTGTAGTTCTTGTCATTACTACGGATTTACTAGAAGCCACTCATGTGGGGTCATCGCGTGCTCCAATGTATACCTAGAAATAAGGATCGAGTTAAATGATATAACCACATGAAAAGACTACTGATGAATTGGCAGTACTACTATTTAGCCTTAAACATTTATTAGAACTCCAACTTCAAAGGGCGCCGTGTGGTGCAGTGGTTGGAGGCGCCACTGCGATGCACATGTGGAATCGATCCCCGCCCCCTTGGGCCACCGCAATTCATTGTAAAGGCAAGATATGCATTCAATCACCTCCAACGACACTTAATGAACTCGAGTGCACGGCACATTCCTTAGGGATTAATCAATGCCGTGAGCTTTATCCTTTGCTTTATCCAACCCCAAGTACAAATTGGTTATTTCATAATGATTTCTTACTCAAAAATCTTTCATATGTCTGTTGTTTGTGCAGTGAAATTAAAAGAAGAAGGATGTATTTTTTTGTTCTGTTCTAGCGAATGTCATAACTCAACCGATCGAATAAAAGTCCGTGTTTGGGATGAAGATAACGACTTGAGGTCGAAGTTGAGACAGAAGCTGACACGAGAAAGCGATGACTTTTTGGGACAGACCGTGATCGATGTGCGAACGCTTTCAGGAGAGATGGATCTTTGGTACAACCTTGGTTAGTCATACTAAGTTAAGTATTAGAGTCATTTGACATAGCTCGCAGTAATAATTACGAGAAGTTAATAGAAGTTCAATATGAAGCACAGTATCTGAATATCTATGCAAACCGTTGTTTTCTTTCATAACCAAGCACTAGGTCGCTGTTACAAGATTTATTACTACAGAATAACTGACGCCTTCCAACGGTTTACCGCCTCATCATGAGTGGGAAGTGTTTCTGGGTGTCGGACTGCGATGTACAGCGGGAATTCATCCCCTGGCAGGGTCTCCCAAGCTGAGAAGGAGTCCGGCGTTTCCATCGGGAAACTTAGCTAAGAGTAAGCGAATACCAAGATCTACCGCCGTCCTGGTATCAAAGTCGCGTGGTGGTAAATCTTCCTCTGATCCACAAGGGCTGCGACTGCCTATAGTCGTAAAGACCTTGTGGATCAGATGGAGATTTACCACCAGGCGACTTTAATACCAGGATACTTTTGGTGATTTGCTGGTTAGGCCATTTTGGTTCCCTGGAGTCCCGAAGTCAGCTAGGGCAGACTTTGCCCAGGCTGACCTCGGGACTCCAGGGAACCGTAATGGCTTAACCAACAAATCTCCGAAAAGTGGGGATTATGCTGGGGCCCGCACAACTAGTGAGGACGGGGCATTGAAATATCGAGTAAGTAGGAATAACTAACGTATCGGGGTTTCGTCTCTTCTTCATGTATATCTATAGGATCAGAAAAGCTGAGATCGAAAACCTTTATAAGATTGGTCCAAGATCAGGTTAACATTTCGTATATAGTGCTGGTAAAGGAAGAGAAGTTGTAGTTCTAAGTTACTGAACATTCCCCCTTGTCGGTCTATTCTGATCCTACACCGCTACCTAGAAGACAGAGCTATGTCAATTCAACCTGTTTTTTCGCGCAGTAAAATCTATATATGTGGGAAATATCTAGTGAAACAAGTATAGAATGACAAACAGACAAAACGAGAAGAAGCGGATTAACCATTCACAATGGTTAGATTTGTTTTGCAAACGACGAAAACTAAGCCACTTGGTACTATCACGTGAGAGTTGCCTTCCACTGCAATATTCTAGCAGTGGTATTACATATAAAGATTACGATATTTCTGACTGATGTTAGATCATTTTCCAAATACCGTGTAGTGAGCTCTCGACTTTTCATGCTACAAGCTTATTCGAAAACGTGCTTTAGGTGCACTGCTTTTTATTCTCCCATCTTAACCATCCATGGCTGTTGTTCCTTAGAGAATTTTAATAATATAGAGGAAAGTAACTCTAAATAACCTAACTACTAGCTAAACCTTCCAATCTCTCTTACAGAAAAGCGAACGGACAAATCTGCGGTCTCGGGGGCGATTCGGCTCCATATCTCCGTGGAAATCAAAGGAGAGGAAAAGCTTGCCTCATATCATGTGCAGTACACGTGTTTACACGAACATCTTTTCCAGGTAACATTTTCTGGCGTTGTTTTTTGCTCTTATAAGGACCAAATTTGGTTTTCGTTCTCACTAATGTTATCAAAAATACTTGTGTGGATAAATTTCCTAGGTGTGCTGTTATTTCAAACGCTCATAATTTAGTGATATGCGTTAAATCATATGGATACTCATGAAAGTTCCCTAATTTTCTCATAGTGCCATCACTAGAAACGACAGAACGTTCTTTATGATTCGTTCACTGGAATCGTCTGGAGTAAAAAAAGATTGACCAATTAATTTGGCTAAGTGAACTTTTTGGGTGTTTGACCAGGTTTCTTGCATATTGCACAGAGTTAATTTTTAGTAATATTTCATTCATTGTAAAAACAATCGATTTGAACGAATCAACATTCCACAGTGGTATTGTTGACAGAGATCGTACAGCGTGGTTTAGTACAGTAAGCCTTGTAGATTACGGTAATCACCTCATTTCGAGTTTTATAACGAGTTATGTAGGCGATGTGTGTCGAGAATGATGAAGTACGATTGCCGGATGCTAAAGGTGAAGACAGTTGGAAGATCTATTTCGATGATGTCGGGCAGGAAATAGTTGAAGAATTTGCTATGCGTTATGGTATCGAATGCATTTATCAGGTAAAATCCCTTTCATACTCATATTTACATTCTAGGAATTTTTTTCAGAATTTTTATTGTTGTTTTTTGAATGTTTAGAAAAATAATTGCAGGCTATGACACATTTCGCTTGCCTTTGCACAAGGTATATGTGTGTTGGAGTACCTGCCGTACTATCCACGTTACTCGCCAACATCAATGCGTGAGTTTCTTCATCGTTTTCTTTATTGTTTGTCCTTCCATCTCTTCTGTTTATTGAGTCAGAAAGAAAAAGTGGTAGAGGTCATAATCAGGAACGATCGTAGGATTCGGTGGGCGCGTAGAGCACAGTAGTCCAAGAAGCCCTATAATATGCATAATATGCACAGGGTTGCTGGTTCGATCCGGTGCCCTGAGGGAATAAAGTTATATATCTTTCCGCGATTGGGAATAGGTTTGTATCAAGTTTGTTTAGGAGCATAAAAGCACTTCCAAATTGGCGACCCACGTAATCCTATCGTATAGGCAGGTTAGATTATGCATCTAGTTACTTCAATGATGCCTGGTGGAGGGCCCACTGTAGAGGATTGTTCAACGCTAAAAGATTTACAACCACAACGTTGCTGAGATATTTGCAAAACTCTGGACCGCAGGTGTCTATGGTGGGGAACGAACGCGCTATTATCCTTTCCGGGGAGTAACGCGTTCACCACCACACCATGCGGGTCCTTTGTTTCGCACGTCTCTCAGCTATTTCTATCGATCTTTTTTTTTTTTTTTTGCCACAGCAATCACCCGTCAGCGGGGTTGATCTGGGGAGCGCAAATCGGCATAGAACCCAGTTAAGCTATGGCTGTAGTTGAAATCACAATTCCCACGACCGACTTTCTGTTAACCTCGGCATTAATTGATAATTCAATGTTTTTCATCAATAAGCAGACACGAGGTT